AAAAAAGACAAACATCCCAAATGTGAAATTGGCACAGGTCTTGAATAGGGGGTTCACAAAGGAATGAGAGAGCTTAACAAATCTCTGTAAAGATGCTCAATCTGACCTTTCAGCTGAAGAATCACTTTTGCTTGTCAAGCTTATGAGTGTGTGTGAAGTTTTGGGACTGCACACTTGAGCGCGGTCATGGTAGTTTAAATTGACACAACTTTTTTTTGAGACAGGGTCTCACTATGTCATCCATGCTGGAGTGCAGTGGCACAGTCATGGCTCACTGCAGCCTCAACCTCCTAAGCTTAAGGAATCCTCCCACCTCAGCCTGCCAAATAGCTGACTACAGGTACATGTCACCACACCCAGCTAATTTTTAAAAAACTTTTTGTAGAGATGGGGTCTCACAACTTGCCCAGGCTGGTCTCAAACTCCTGAGCTCAAGTGATCCTCCCTCCTCAGCCACCCAAAGTGCTAGGATTACAGATGTGAGCCACCATGTCCGGCCACAATACAACTTTTTTGGGAGGGCGTTCTAGATATTAGTATTAAACTTTTAAGTGTGTGGATTCTCTGACCCAGCAAATCCACCTCTAGGAACTTATGTCAGGGAGATAATCAGTCAAATAGGCAGAGAACTATAAAGAATAGGCCAGGAGCGGTGGCTCACGCCTGTAATCCCAGCACTTTGGGAGGCTGAGGCAGGCGGATCACCTGAGGTCAGGAGTTCGAGACCAGCCTGGCCAACATGGTGAAACCCCATCTCTACTAAAAATAGAAAAATTAGCCAGGTATGGTGGCAGGCACCTGTAATCCCAGCTACTCGGGAGGCTGAGGCAGGAGAATTGCTTGTACCTGGGAGGCAGAGGTTGCAGTGAGCCGAGATTACACTCCAGCCTGGGGGACAAGAGCGAGACTTCGTCTCAAAAAAAGAAAAGAAAAGAATAACGCAGGGTGGTTAAGAGCTCTGGAATCAGACAGCCAGGGTTCGAATTCTGGCTTCACCACCTTCAAGCTGTGTGACCTGAGTCATATGGTTTATTGTTAAGATTCCCAGATTTTCTCATCGGTAAAATAGGCCTCTCATGAGGACTCCATGAGGCAAAGTGTGTGAAATGCTTAGCCTTCTGCTAGGCACATAGAGGGTGCTTGCTGTTATCATCATGAAGAAAAGCATTAAAAGAGGCTGGAGGCCAGGCGCGGTGGCTCACACCTGTAATCCCAGCACTTTGGAGGCCGAGGCAGGCGGATCACGAGGTCAGGAGATCGAGACCATCCTGGCTAACATGGTGAAACCCTGTCTCTACTAAAAATACAAAAAATTAGCCAGGCGTGGTGGCGGGCACCTGTAGTCCCAGCTACTCAGGAGGCTGAGGCAGGAGAATGGCGTGAACCCGGGAGGCGGAGCTTGCAGTGAGCCGAGATCGCACCACTGCACTCCAGCCTGGGTGACAGAGCGAGACTCTGCCTCAAAAAAAAAAAAAAAAAGAGGCTAGAAACAATTGAGGTACCTGGGCTCTGGGGATTTTTTGTAGAGATGGGGTTTATTGGCTACATGAAAGTGGGCTGGGCATGGTGGCTCATGCCTGTAATCCCAGCACTTTGGGAGGCCCAGGTGGGAGGATCTCCTGAGCCCAGGAGTTCAAGACCAGCCTGGGCAACGTAGCCAGATCTCAACTCTACAAAAACTAAAAAAAATTAGCCAGGCATGGTAGCACACGTCAGTACTCCCAGCTACTTGGGAGGCTGAGGGGGGAGGATTGCTTGAGCCCAAGGAAGTGGAGGCTGCGGTGAGCTGCGTATTGCACCACTGCACTCCAACCTGGGTGACAGAATAAGACCCTGTCTCAACAAAGAAAAGAAAATTAAAAGCTGGGCACGATGGCTCACACCTGTAATCTCAGCACTTTGGGAGGCTGAGGTGGGCAGATCACTTGAGGTCACAAGTTCCAGACCAGCCTGGCTAACATGGTGAAACCCTGTCTCTACTAAAAATACAAAAATTAGCTGGGTGTGTTGGTGGATGCCTATAATCCCAGCTACTTGGGAGGCTGAGGCAGGAGAATCGCTTGAACCCAGGAGGTGAAAGTTGCAGTGAGCCGAGATCTCGCCACTGCCCTCCAGCCTGGGTGATAAGGTGGCTCAGTCTCAAAAAAAAAAAAAAAAGAAAATTCAAGTGCTAAAACTTACATTCATTGACACAGCGTGACCTCTGGGATATATTAATTGAAAAAAAAGAAAACCAATTTCAAACATCATAACCACATCTTTCAAGTACTTTGATCGTGAATCAAAGAATTAATTTTTTACATTGCAATGTAGGTCTTCTACCCAGGTTTGGAACTAAAAACAAAGTTTCAGGAAGTCATAGTAATATGTCTACTGTGCAGTGGGTTCTGATATTTTCTAGTCTCTTTTGTTCCATTTTAAAAGGCTGGTCATTTTCGCAATTACAGTATTTTTCTCTTTAAGGTTCTGGTTAATGTAACCCAGACTCCCAGTAACAAGGATGTCTAGATAGTGACTAAGGAAAGGATGAAGGAAGACAGGGAAAGGGTATTTCCAATCCACTAGGCTTGATTTTTTTAAAAAAATTTTTTAGACAGAGTTTTGCTCTTGTATCCTAGGCTGGAGTGCAATGGTACAATCTTGGTTTGCTGCAAGCTCTGCCTCCTGGGTTCAAGTGATTCTCCTGCCTTGGCCTCCCAAGTAGCTGGGATTACAGGCATGCGCCACCACGCCTGGCTAATTTTTTTCTATTTTTAGTAGAGATGGGATTTCACCATGTCAGTCAGGCTGGTCTTGAACTCCTGACCTCAGGTGATTCACCGGCCTCAGCCTTCCAAAGTGCTGGGATTACAGGTGTGAGCCACCGGGCCCGGCCCTCTAGCTTGATTTTATTTCCATTAGCGGTTGTAGTGTATATGTGTGCATCTGTCATCCCAGAACTTTGGGAGGCCAAGGCAGGCAGATCGCATAAGCCCAGGAATTTGAGACCAGCCTGGGCAACATGGCGAAACCCCATCTCTACCAAAAATACAAAAATTAGCCAGGTGTGGTGGCATGCATCTGTAGTCCCAGCTACTGGGGAGGCTGAGGTGGGAGGATCACTTGACCCCAGAAGGTTGAGGCTGCAGTGAACCATGATCAGGTGCCACTGCACTCCAGCCTGGGCAACAAAGAGAGACCCTGTCTCAAAAAAAAAAAAAAAAGTGTATATGTATGAACTCATGTGTATGTGTGTGTGTGTGTACGTTTGTGTGTGTGTTTTTGAGACACAGTCTTGCTCTGTTGCTCAGGCTGGAGTGCAGTGGTGAGATCTCAGTTACTGCAACCTCTGCCTCCCAGGTTCAGCGTTTCTCCTTCCTCAGCCTTTTGAGTAGGTGGGACTATAGGCGCACCACCAAGCCCAGCTTTTTTTTTTTTTTTTTTTTTGAGACGGAGTCTCACGCTGCTGCCCAGGCTGGAGTGCAGTGGCGCGATCTCGGCTCACTGCAAGCTCCGCCTCCTGGGTTCACGCCATTCTCCTGCCTCAGCCTCCTGAGTAGCTGGGACTACAGGCGCCCACCACCGCGCCCGGCTAATTTTTTGTATTTTTAGTAGAGACGGGGTTTCACTGTGGTCTCGATCTCCTGACCTTGTGATCCGCCCGCCTCGGCCTCCCAAAGTGCTGGGATTACAGGCTTGAGCCACCGCGCCCGGCCGACGTTTTTTTTTTTTTTTTTTTTTTTTTTTTTTTTTTAAGTAGAGGCGGTGTTTCACCATGTTGGCCAGGGTGGTTTCGAACTCTGACCTCAGGTGATCCACCAGCCTCCGCCTCCTAAAGTGTTGGGATTACAGGCGTGAGCCACCACGCCCAGCTAGTGCGTGTGTCTTTGTGTGTCTTTGCATATTGTGTGTATGACCAGGCTGAGACCCGTGAGGGATTTGCTTCAGGCTGGCTTTGAGTATATCACTTTTTTGTGTGCGTAGCAACAGGGTCTCACTTTGCCACCTAGGCTGGTCTCGAACTCCTTGCTTCAAGCAATCCTCCCACCTCGGCCTCCCGAAGTGCTGGGATGACAGGTGTGAGCCACCATGCTCGAGCCTTGGGTGCATAATTTAAGAGGGTATCAAAAAACTTAGTCATTGAGATAAATATTTTAATGCAATATAATTTTAAAAATTAAACCTGGGTGCAATGGTTCACGCCTGTAATCCCAGCTCTCTGGGGGACTGAGGCGGATGGGTCACCTGAGGTCAGGAGTTTAAGACCAGGCTGGCCAACGTGGTAAAACTTTGTCTCTACTAAAAATACAAAAATTAGACAGACGTGGTGGCATGCGCCTGTAATTTCAGCTACTAGGGAGGCTGAGGCATGAGAAGCGCTTGAACCCAGGAGGCAGAGGTTGCAGTGAGCCGAGATTGTGCTGCTGCACTCCAGCCTGGGTGACAGATGGAGACCCTTTCTCAAAAAAAAAAAAAAAAAAAAAAAAAAAAGAATGGTTCTTCTGCAGCAACATGGATAGAGCTGAAGGCCATTATCTTAAGTGAAACTAACCAGACACAGAAAGTCAAACACTGCATGTTATCACTCCTAAGTGGGTGCTGAAATCTAAGCACACATAGACATGGAGAATGAAAAGATGGACAATAGAGACTCAGAAGGGTGAGGGGATGGATGATGAGAAAATTCTTTTTTTTTTTCCCAAGACGGAGTCTTGCTCGTCGCCCAGGCTGGAGTGCAGTGGCGTGATCTAAGCTCATTGCAACCTCCACCTCCCAGGTTCAAGCAATTCTCCTGCCTCAGCCTCCCGAGTAGCTGGGATTACAGGCGCCCACCACCACACCCGGGTAATGTGTGTGTGTTTAGTAGAGACGGGGTTTCACCATGTTGGCCGGGATTCCTGACCTCGTGATCTGCCCGCTTTGGCCTCCCAAAGTGCTGGGATTACAGGCGTGAGCCACGGCGCCCAGCCTCTTTTCTTTTTCTTTTTCTTTTTTTTTTTAATATAGTGATGGGGTCTTACCATGTTGCCCAGGCTGTTCTCAAGCTCCTGGGCTCAAGCGATCCTCTTGTCTTGCCCTCCGAAAGTGCTGGGATTGCAGGCCTGAGCCACTGCGCCTGGCCCTGGTAACTCTTGAATGGGGTAAAAGTGGGCACAGACAGGCCCCACGATGGTCCAGCCTCCAAAGCGCAGTCACCTGGGTCTTCCCCTCCAGCCAGCCTCCGGGACAAGGGGAATCTCAGTGGCTGAGACTTCTGGGGATGGAGAAGGAGGGGCATCCGGGGAGGGAGAGCAGAGCCCGGCGTGCGGCAGCGGAGGAGGCTCCGCCCAACTCGAGTCCCCTCCCGGGGGCTGGGCTGGCGGGAAGGGCCCGGGCTGCCCGGCAGGCAGAAACGGAGCCTGGGAGTCTGCTATCGACCGCCTGGGCCGCGGTAGGGAAGCTTTTAGATCTGCCCGCTCGTCCCGAAGCGGGGCAAGGGCGAGGCTCCCACTTCCCTACAGAGGGGAGGCCCGGGGGTTTCCTGTCACCCCCACATACCACCCACCAGCAAGGCTTGCAGGCTAGCCTCCGAACTCCAAAATCCGGTCGCTGGAAATGGAATTACTTTTCCTGGAACTTTATTGAGGGTTAATTTACATGCGGTGAAGTCCCATGCCTGCACGTATTATTTGCATGCACGACCCCCTGCCCCCACCCCATCAAAGTAAGGAACATTTCCATTCAGACGGCCCAGAAATCAATCTTCCTTCATCCATTCCCCACCCACAAACACTCCACTGATTTCTTTTTCTTTTCCTTTTTTTTTTTTTTCAGACGGAGTCTTGCTCTGTCACTCAGGCTGGAGTGCAGTGGTGCAATCTCGGCTCACTGCAAGCTCCGCCTCCCGGGTTCACGCCATTCTCCTGCCTCAGCCTCCCGGGTAGCTGGGACTACAGGCGCCCGCCACCACGCCCGGCTAATTTTGTGTGTATGTGTGTTATTTAGTAGAGACGAGGTTTCGCCGTGTTAGCCAGGATGGTCTCAGTCTCCTGACCTTGTGATCCGCCCATCTCAGCCTCCCAAAGTGCTGGGATTGCAGGAGTGAGCCACCGCACCCAGCCTCTTTTCTTTTCTTTTTAGAGACAGAGTCTTGCTCTGTTGCCCAGGCTGGAGTGCAGTGGTGCAACCATAGCTCACCACAGCCTCTACCTCCTAGGCTCAAGCGATTCTCCTGTCTCAGCCTCTGAGTAGCTGGAACTACAGGCCCTCACCACCAAGCCCAGGTAATTTTTGTATTTTTTGTAAAGACAGACAGGATCTTGCTGTTACCTAGGCTGGTGTTGAATTCCTGGCCGCAAGCGATCCTCCTGTCTCAGCATCCCAAAGTGCTGAGATTACAGGTGTGAGCCATGGGGTCAGGCCCACTCTCCTGAATTCTTTTTTTGTGTGTGACAGAGTTTCACTCTGTTACCCAGGCTGGAGTGCAGTGGCACGATCTCAGCTCACTGCACCCTCCACCTCCCAGGGTCAAGCAATTCTCGTGTCTCAGCCTCCCAAGTAGCTGAAATTACAGGCACACGCCACCATACCCGGCTAATTTTTGTATTTTTTTGTAGAAATGGGGTTTTAACTTGTTGGCCAGGCTGGTCTTGAAGTCCTGGCCTCAAGTGATCTGCCCACCTCGGCCTCCCAAAGTGCTGGGATTATAGGTGTGAGTCACTGCACCTGGCTACTATTCTGATTTCTATCACCCTAGATTAGTTGAGCCTTTTGCAAACTTTCAGATAAATAAAATCACACGGTGTGGTCTCTCTTCCACTCAGCATCGTGCATTCTGAGATTTATCAACATTGTGTGAATCAGTAGTTTGTTCCTTTTTGTTGCTAAGAATTACTCCATCCTAGCCGGGCACAGTGGCTCAAGCCTGTAATCCCAACACTTTGGGAGGCCGAGGTGGGCAGATCACGAGGTCAGGAGATCAAGAACATCCTGGCTAACACAGTGAAACCCCATCTCTACTAAAAATACAAAAAATTAGCCAGGTGTGGTGGCGGGTGCCTGTAGTCCCAGCTACTCGGGAGGCTGTGGCAGGAGAATGGCGTGACCCCGGGAGGCGGAGCTTGTAGTGAGCCGAGATTGCGCCACTGCACTCCAACCTGGGTGACAGAGCGAGACTCTGCCTCAAAAAAAAAAAAAAATTACTCCATCCTATGGATGGGCCTTAATTTGTATTCTCCTGTCTGGAGATATTTTGATTGTTTCCAGTTTTTCAGCAATAATTGAACAAATTTGCTCTGAACATTTGCCAACAAGTCTTTATATGGACATATTCTTTCATTTCTCTTGAGTAAATATATAGCAATGGAATTGCTAGGATGAATGGTAAGTCTAACTTTATTTTTTTAAATTAATTATTTTGTCTATTTTTTGAGATGGAGTCTCGCTCTGTCAACCAGGCTGGAGTGCAGTGGCGTGATCTTGGCTCACTGCAACCCCCACCTCCCTGGTTCAAGCGATTCCCCTACCTCAGCCTGGTGAGTAGCTGGGATTACAGGTGCACACCACCACACCTGGCTAATTTTTTTGTATTTTTAGTAGAGACAAGGTTTTACCATGTTGGCCAGACTGGTCTCAAACTCCTGACCTCAGGCAATCTGCCCGCCTCAGCCTCCCAAAGTAACTTTATTTTAAAAACTGTTTTCCGGCTAGGCGCGGTGGCTCACGCCTGTAATCCCAGCACTTTGGGAGGCTGAGGTGGGCAGATCATGAGGTCGGGAGATCGAGACCATCCTGGCCAACATGGTGAAACCCCGTCTCTACTAAAAATACAAAAAATTAGCCGGGCGTGGTGGCGGACGCCTGTAGTCCCAGCTTCTCAGGAGGCTGAGGCAGGAGAATGGCATGAACCCGGGAGGCATTTAGTGAGCTTGCAGTGAGCGGAGATCGTGCCACTGCACTGCAGTGTGGCGACGGAGCAAGATTCCGTCTCAAAAATAAATAAATAAATAAATAAATAAATAAATAAATAAATAATAAAAATAAAAACTGTTTTCCAAAGTGGTTGTGCCATTTCACACGCAAACCAGCAGCAGATGAACAAGTGATTCTCCTGCCTCAGTCTCCTGAGTAGTTGGGATTACAGACACGCGCCACCAAGCCCGGCTAATTTTTTGTATTTTTAGTAGAGACGGGGTTTCACCATCTTGGCCAGGATGGTCTCGATCTTTTGACCTCGTGATCTACCCGCTTTGGCCTCCCAAAGTGCTGGGATTATAGGCGTCTCTCTCTGTCACCCAGGCTGGAGTATAGTAGTGGTGATCTCGGTTCAGTACAACCTCTGACTCCCAGGTTGACATGATTCTGCTGCCTCAGCCTCCCAAGTAGCTGGGATTACATCTGGCTGATTTTCCTATTTTTATTAGAGACAGGATTTCATCATGTTGGCCAGGCTGGTCTTGAACTCCTGACCTCAAGCGATCTGCCCGCCTTGCCTCTCAAAGTGCCAAGATTATAGATATGAGTCACTGTGCCTGGACTGCTGGATTTAATTTAAATATACACCTACCATGCTCGCCTGTCTCCCTGGGGTGTGGGGCTCCATCACAAGCTTCTGGTTTTGCAGCCAGACTTTGCAACTTGGGGTCCTAGTTGTCCTCCTCTCATTTGAGTTGAACTGTCTGCATAGGATTCCTTCTCCTCCCTGCCCCCCTCAAATTGCCGTGCTTTCACATCTTCCCAGGATCTCAGGAATTTTTTCAAGGACAGGAAATCCTCCTCCTGACCAAATATAGAACCAGAAAGCAGTCACCCATGTCTGCTCAGCCTGGACTTGGAGAGGTGGAGAGCTGGGCTGGTGCACCACCCACTGGGGCTTTCTTATTCCTTATGCAGCTGCCTCTGGACAACCTTGATGGTCAGGGGCTTGGGAACCCATATCATGGGGGTGGGGGATGATCTTCAGCTCTGGAACACTGTCCTGCATTAATTACACCTTTGGGGGACTTCTGACAGCTCTTCCCAAACACCCCATCCATACATGTACTAGACACTGTGTGCAGCCCAGCAGACCCGCACTCCAGCCCTCCTGTCCTTGATCTACAAGCTAATGAGGAGATCCAGCCCCTATTCACGAAAGGTCTGTGAGTCTATATGTACCTGGGGAGCTTGCAGGCTGGCTGTGTGCTGAATGTTTTTCATTTGTCCCATTATGGACTAAACTGTGCCCCTCCAAATTAAAATGTTGAAGTCCTAACCCCCAATGTGCCTGTATTTGGACATAGGGCCTTTAAAGAGGTAATGAAAGTTACGTGGGGTCATCAGGGTGAGGCCTTAATCCAATAAAACTGGTGTCCTTATAAGAAAAGGAAGAGATGCCAGAGATCTGTCTCTTCAAGCACACAGAGGAAAGGCCATGTGAGGACACAGCAAGAAGGTGGCCGTCTGCAAGCCAAGAAGAGAGTCCTCACCAGGAACCAACTCTGCTGACACCTTGCTGTTGGACTTCCAGCCTCTATAAGTGTGAGAAGGAAATTTCTGTTGTTTAAGCCACTCAGTCTATGGTATTTTCTTTGTTGTTGTCATTTTTGAGACAAAGTCTCACTCTGTTGCCCAGACTGGAGTGCAGTGACATGATCTTGGCTCACTACAACCTCCACCTCCTGGGTTCAAGCAATTCTCCTGCCTCAGCCTCCCAAGTAGCTGGGATTACAGGTGCCCACCACCATACCTGGCTAATTTTTGTGTTTTTAGCAGAGACAGGGTTTCACCATGTTGGCCAGGCTGGTCTCAAACTCCTGACCTCAAGTGATCCACCTGCCTCGGCCTCCTAAAGTGTTGGGATTACAGGTGTGAGCTACTGCGCCTGGCCCATTTATGGTATTTTCTTATGGCAGCCTGTGATGTTTATTCTGTGTTATCAACTTAACTAAGGGATACCCAGAGACCTGGTGAAACATGATTTCTGCATGTGTCTGCGAGGCTGTTTCTGGAAGAAATTTGTGTTTGTTTTAGTAGACTGAGGAGAGAAGATCCACCCTCCCTAATGTAGGTGGGCATCATCCTATCCATTGAGGACATGGCTAGAACCGAAAGGCAGAGGAAGGTTAAATTCATTCTCTCTGCTCCAGCTGGGACATCCCTTTTCTCCTGTCCTCAGACACTGGCGATCTTGGTTCTCAGGCCTTTGGTCTCAGACCCGGGACTTACCCCATCTGCTCTCCTGGTATGCAGGCCTTTGAGTTTGGACTGGAATCACACCACCAGCTTTCTTGGGTCTCCAGCTTGCAGATGGCAGATTGTGGGACTTCTCAGCCTCCATAATTACATGAGTCAATCTCTCATAATAGATCTCCTTCTCTGTGTCTATATATATCCTATTGGTTCTGTTTCTCTGGTGAGCCTTGACTAATACACAGTCCAAGCTGACGAAGACGTGCCCCTTGCATCAGTTCAGGTCCTCTGAGAAGCTGATGCTGA